TCCAGGAGCACCTGGGTGGCCCAGTCAGTTGAGCAGCAGACTCTTGATTTTGGCTGGGGTCTGATCACAGTGTCCTGGGATGGAGCCCTACTCCTGGCTCCACGCTCAGCGTGGAGTCGGCTTGGGTTTTTCTCTCTCTCCCTCTTCCTCTGCCCTCTCTCTGTGCTTTCCCTCTCCTACTGAAATAAAAGAAAAGAACAGAAAAGAAAAGAACATAAAGTGGTCCAGCGCTGGGCCTCTGGGGGGGGGGGGGGGTACACAAATTACTAGTACATATCCTCTGTTCCTGTGTTTCTCAGACTATGGTACAGGCCTTGCTACTCAAGGTATGGCTCCCCAACTAGCAGCCTCAGCAGAGCTTGAGAGCTTGCTAGGAGTGCAGAATCTCAGGTTCTACCCCAGAACTTCAGAATCAACATCTGCATTTTAATTAGATTCCCCAGGTGATTCATATATACATTAAATATGAGCCACACTGGCATGAAAGATGGTTTAGGTCATACAAATAAGCATTTCAAAATCTTTTGTTTGTTAGGTATTTTTAATATGTATTAGAAAACATAATTAAGCCAGTTTACTCATGAGTCCATTGGTATTATTTCTCCAGATAATTCTAAGAAAGGTGAATCAGTTTAAAGTTGACTTAAAGTATAAAAGGAAGATGTACCCCCCTATGCCAAACACAAACCGAAAAGAGAAAACTGTAAGAGAAGAACACAAAGGACATAAATTAAACTATATTTTAAAATAATAATAATAATAATGAAAATAAAGGAATCTAGAATGACATTTCACATAAATATTTATCAAAAAAAACCCTCAAAACAAAGCAAAACAAAAACTGGTAGAGCAGAACTAATAGCAAACAAAACAGAATTTAAGGCAAAGAAAATTTCCAGGAATGAAGAGTGACATAATATATACATGCGGTGAAATTTTCTTCCTGAGTCTATCATTTTCCATTTCCACTAGCAAAGCATGAGTGTTCACTCTAGGGCGGTATCAACATCTTGTTTATATTTGCCCATTTGATAAGCAAAAGAAAAGGGAATCTTCTTGTAGTTCAATTTCAAAGCGCTCCTTCTCTCCAGCACACCGGCGACCACACAGCAGACCTGAGGTCTGGTGATCCCGGGCGGGTTCCGGGCCCAGGGACTCAGGCCCCGCCCCTCCAGTGAGGGTCCAGGGACACCCCGCCCGGGGCAGCGTCCCCAACCGGGGAGGACTCACCCCCGGCGCTGAGCTGCGCGAGTCCTGCTCCACCCGGTCCGCCGACCCGCAGCCCGAGGCCCCGCCCCCCACTTCTGCTCTGTGTTAATTCTCAGCCGCTTATTTAATTTCTCTACAACACAGTGTTTACTTTCTACACAATAGCCAGCAAAGCTGTTCAGTGCCCCAGGGCAGCAAACAATAACAATTCTCTACGACCCTGTCTGAAGAACCAGTTGCCCTTAGTTTCGCACAAAGCTTTCATTAAAAACTCTTGAGTGGAATTAGGTGCGGTTATCAATTTCCAGGGAAATCTGATATATTTTCCCTGAAAACGAAGAAAGAGAGAAAACAGAAAATGTTTTCTATAAAATTTTGTAAAGACTTCCTGAAATGGTTAATTAAAAGTCTTTGAATTTAAAATCATTTTTTTTTAAAGATTTTATTTATTTATTTGACAGAGAGACACAGAGAGAGAGGGAACACAAGCAGGAGGAGTAAGAGGGGGAGAAGCAGGCTTCCCACTGAGCAGGGAGCCCAATGGGGGGCTCGATCCCAGAATCCTGGGATCATGACCCGAGCCGAAGGCAGATGCTTAACGACTGAGCCACCCAGGCACCCCTAAAATCATTTTTAAATCACACTGTGTTCTCTGATCTAATTCTCAAAAGCAATCCATTTAGGGAGTATCATGGTCCCCATTACACCAGCAATCAGAGCACCAGAGCAGTTAAATGACTCTCCCTCCTAGTGCCAAAAACTAAGGAGGGAATGGGTGCTTCAAACCTAAATCACTGAGCTTCCAGAGGTAAACTCTAAGGCAGTCCTGTTACTCCTACTATCAACAGCATGGTAAAGACCGAAAGTAAAAACTTCTCATTAAGTTTTTGAGCCTGGATCATTTAGGATACTCTGTGTAATAAAGACTTTAGAGAAAGAAAAAAAAACATACATTATGATTAATATGAGCAGAAATTTCAGACTCACTATTTCTAGTACCATCCTGGAAAAATTCTTATGCATCGTTTACAGCAACAAGCACATGAGCAAGAAGACAGTTCATCATTACTAATGCTGGATCCAGGTGATCTTACTCCCTGACAGACTGGCTTCTGATTCTCCTGCTTTTGCTGATGCAGTTGCTCTCACCAGGTGCTTTAGAAATGTTTTTGATTTACAGTTGGAAATTAAAATTACCAAAGAGTTCTAAAAGCAGAATAGAAGCCCTATGCATCTTTCTGTCACCATCTCAGAGTTTGCCTTTCCTTTTGGCCTGAGTGGCTGGAATCTAGGGATGGATAAAAAGAAGAAGAAGAAAAATCACAGCTTCACATGGAAAACAGCACCCAACTATATGAAACAGTTTAATGTCATGAGGTGAAAATAAAACAACAAAAATCCCCCTGGTTTCTAAAGTCACTAGCAGAAGAAATGAGTGAAGAAGGCAAGACTCAAGCACAGACGTGTGTGTGTGTGCGTGTATGTTCGTGTTCTACTTGCTTGCCCTGCCAGAGCCACATCCTATTTACCAGTGTCTGTACACATGCAGAAAAATGAAAACAGACCTTGCTTGCTGCAGGCCAGAATGGAAGTTTCCTTTTATCTGGCACCACATAGCTTCTAGAGGCATGTTCCTAATGGAAGCAATCACTCACTGATGGGTTTCATTTTCCTTGTTTTGTTTTAAAGCATTCGCAAAAAAAAAAAAAAAAAGAAACAATCTATGAAAGATTATCAGTCTCTTTTAAATTCTTCAATAAGGATTTTTTAAAGCAGCAAATATATACCTGGCAATTCTGACCCAGATCACTTTCATGTTTATTTTTTTTTTATTGTGGTAAAATACACATGACATAAAATTTACCATCTCAACCATTTTTAGATGTCATTACTAATGTTTTTAATAAAAATAAGTAGCCTTAGGAATATAAAAAGATCCTTTAGAACATTTATCCTTTTTAGGTACTACTGTAAATATTTCTGCTGTCTCAGGGGCAGCATGAAAGATCTCATGGTTCATCCTCAGCATAAAGGTTTGCCCACTGCAACTCCTATGGAGTTGAACAAACACAATTCAGGTGCATACCTGGTTATCTGAAAATGCATTTTCCATAGGAAATGTGGCTTGGATAAATTATATCCACAGGTCATTTTTCAAAGCCCTATTTTATCCTCACATTTACCAAATCTTTTGCTGAGATATTATCAAAAAAAGCTGTCTCTACAAAGTCTATTCTTTGAAGAGTGAGGGTAGATAGAGCTAGGGTGTGAAGAGCATGAACGTGGGGCAACAAGAGTCCCAAATGAACACAAAGAATCTGTAGCTAGCTCTTTGAATAATCAAGAGTTGACATATTAGAGAATCAAGCCTGTAATTTTCAACTGTTTTTTTTTTAAACAGGTCTCTGAAGGTAACAAATGGCAAAAATAAAATAAATTTCTGAAAAATGTTCCCACCTCAGTTTCTGTTTGGAGATTTTACTCTCCAAATCCTATATGTGTTTCATTAAGGCTCCCAGTTATTAAATGCTAGTTACTGTCAATGGCAGAGCAAAATACAAATCAATAATTAATCACATGTTAGAAGAGCAGCAAATTCTTTTTTTTTTTTAAAGATTTTATTTATTTATTTGACAGAGAGAGAGAGGGAACACAAGCAGGGGGAGTGGGAGAGGGAGAAGCAGGCACCCCACAGAGCAGGGAGCCCGATGCGGGGCTCTATCCCAGAACCCTAGGACCACGACCGGAGCCAAAGACATATGCCTAACGACTGAGCCACCCAGGCGCCCCAGAGCAGCAAATTCTTTGAAGTGGTTCTTGAAGAAGCTCCTGCAGTCCAATTAAAAGGAGTTTAAAAAAAAAAAAAAAAAGGAGAAGGAAGAGGAAGAGGAACAGGAGGAAGAGGAGAAGAAAAAGAACAAAGCAGAGGAAAAGCCCTTTTATTAAAGATCAGGCAGCCAACTCAAGTTTAAAATTGAATTCCATATACACTGTTTTTCAGAAACACCCATTTTGGCATGTTCTAAATCACATGCCATCTCTGACTGAGAACAGGAAGGCAAAATAGGCCAAGCCCAGGAGGGGTTGGCAAACAAACACAAGCCAAGTACACTCAGGAGAATTATCTAGTATTTGCCTACAGAATGCAATTGGCTTGGGTCTACACTAAAAATTGCTTTCAAGGAACATGGATTAGAGATTGGGTTTCTTTTTGCTATCTATTCACAATAAGATACTTGTAGAGATTTGTCATCTTTTGACATAATTATATCAGTTGCAACACACACATGTCCATTCAATTTTACAAAGTTCCTTTTAATCAAAGATATACATATGTTCTGGCCTTCAAGAGCCTGGAGACTCAAAGTAGTTGCTACAACAGTGAGAAACACAATTCATGGGCAATCTCTTATCAAACAAAAACCTGGCCCCGATTACTTTGTACTTGAGACTGACATAAGTAGTTCACTCTGTCTGAACATTTAAAATCAATTGCCAAACGAAAATGGGACTCTTGAGGCCATGCCAGAAGTAGGTTTCTTACTTCCTTGCCCAGTCTTGGCCAAAACCCTAGCACTACTCAACAGCAACTGCAATCTACAAATCAACTTAAAGATCTTGATTCCTGCCAAAACTTTATGTCTACAGAGCTGACTCTATAAATAATGATGGGTTATCATCAGTAAGGTTGAAACTGGATCCTCAACTATCCAATTCTCGGTTTGCATTTTTTTTTAAGTTGATGAGCTTGTTCGCTTTATTTCATTATGAAATCAAATGAAAACTCTCACCTTGTGATGCCCAAATTCATTCAAAATGGTGCCCAGTTTTCTGGTGTTGCTATGCGGTTTTTGGGCAGCCACAGCTGGATGCGGGTCCCGCCAGTCGATAGACAAGCGGTGATACCAGAGGCGCTGACTCTCCAGAATATGAGCCGACTTCACACTAGGATCAAAACGATGTACCTCACATCCATTGTTGGCCATGCTAACCTCAAATTGGGTATCATCACTCCCTAGCCTATAAAGAAAAAGGATGGAAATCAATAACAAGAAAACCATAATGAAGCAAAAGTGTTGGATTGACAAAATGATTCTAAGGCCAATTTTCTTATTCTTATCAAGTTTTCTCCTGTTTTAACACACAGCTAACTGCACACATTCAATAAAACTTCTTCTTTCACAAAAAGCATTAGAGCTAAAAGCTTCTGGGTAAAAAGCAAGCAGAGAAATCATCTGCTAAATGCAGACCAGAGAATCACATGTTCAAACATGTACAGGCATACCAAATTAATTTTTGACAAAGACTTAAACCATAGCAGCAACGAAACAAGACTGTCCAGTGATCTTAAGAGGTTTTCTCAGAATACGTCAAAAATATAAGTGTCGGGATCAGTTCCCTTAGGGAGAGGGGCGGTCTACTAATGAGGTAATTTGCCTCCATTCTAATGGCCACAATGCATGAGGTCTGACTTAAAGACAATAGCTGTTTCCTTAGAAATGGAATATAATTTAAAATAGTACAGCTAAAGAAAAGGCAACTGTGTGTGGTTCTACTCAAGAAATAGAAGAGATACCTCATCTAAATTCACATCAACAGGAGGAAAAAATTATGAATTAGTTTTTCTTAAGTACCCAGTATGTAACACATCATGTGGAACATTCATATACTTAACACATTTTTAATTTACTCCGTCATATTACTCAGACATATTAGGTGGAGTTATATTCATCACTTTGATTAAAGCACCAGTTTGGATGAAAAACATGAAGTTAAATGAAAGAGGACTATTTTTTTAAATGGTGATTATGGCTTCTTTGCCCGAAATACTATAATTAGATGTGATTTAAGATACCAAAATCTCAGAGTATCTATAATACATTGACCAAACCTGAATCCAGTGCAGAAATGCTTCATTCTCTTAGACTTTACTGTCTCAGGTATTTCATAATTTGGAAACATACAAGCTCATTGGCTAACAATTATTGACCTGCTTTTAGGTGACTAAAATAAGTCTTCAGTACAGAAATCCTCCACCTAGACATTCTTACTATACTCTTATTTGCCTTGTTCTTTACCTTTACTTCTACTCCACTGCTTTTTCCCTCACTGGACCCATGGCATGTTAACCCTCTGCTGTCCCTCAGCTGTAATTCTCTCTACCCTTTTGGCTAGAAGATTTAGCACTCCTCTCACAAATGACAGATTACCCGACAGATCCTGTTTCCTATTTTTATATATTTTTAAAGATTTTATTTATTTATTTGTCAGAGAGAGAGAGAGCATAAGCAGGGGGAGCGGCAGGCAGAGGGAGAAGCAGGCTCCCAGCTGAGCAAGGAGCCCGATGAGGGACTCGATCCCAGGACCCTGGGGTCATGACCTGAGCCGAAGGCAGATGCTTAACCAACCGAGCCACTCAGGTTTCTCCTGTTTCCTATTTTTAACCTCTTATTGAACCCACACAGCTCAGACCATTGTAATCTCTATCCTAGTTTCCCCCCAATTTTTCCATGATCTAATCTGGTGTGGCAGATTGACTTGCTGGCTCTAATTCTTCACTCCTTCATACTACTGCCATGCTATGCTCATCATGGGCAGAGTGTCCTTTCCTGCCTCTTGATTTTTTGGCTTGACTATGTAATTTGCTTTTTGGAAGGAAGTGACAGTATGCCAGTTCTGAGACTAGGCTTTAAGTACTTCTGTCCACTCTCTTGTATCATCCTCATGATGAAAACTTATCCTGGGTAGCTTGCTGTCTCAGGAAACTAAGAGATATGAGAGGCAGAGGTACCCCAGTCGAACCTCCAGCCTTCTATGAAAAACAGAACTGCCCTTAGCCACCTCACTTTGAAGCCTCCCCACTGAGCCCAGACTCAATCAACTGAAGCACAGCTGATGTGCAGACATATAAGCAAGAATAAATAATGGTTTTAAGCTACTGAATCTTAGAGTGATTTGTTACACAGCAACAGCTAACTTATAAACCTGCCATGAACTATAAATCCAAGAATTGAATAAAAATGACGAAACATTTTTTAGTAGACAGATTTCTTTCTGTATATACCAGAATGTTGCCAAATGCACCTGCCCCAAGCGATTTTTCACTTAATTGAGTATGTTGAAAGTTAGATGAGCAAACCAGTGTTATTATGGGTCACCTCATGAAAAGTGGCAGTTTTGTAGCTTTACTAAGAGAATATTATGTCAAAAAAAGTACTCATTAAATATAATTTGTATATAAACTTTCTAGAGTAGAGAAATTTGAATAATTTCTTTCTGTGAATTTTCTCAATATTGTTTTCAAGGAAACATTTTCTACTCTATCAAGACTTCAAAAAAATTTAAGGATGAAATTAAACACATAGACTTTTGTAACTAAATTTTTTAGTAAGGCACTTTATTATATATTGATATGTTTTCAATTTAAACTAATTTTTTATAATAAAAAATAGCAATACTCACAGAAAGAGTTCAAAGAAATAGATAAAATGAAAAGTAAAAGTTTTCTAGCTCTCGAAATTTTGGCCACTAATTTCCAGAGATAATCACAGTTAGCAATTTTTTGTGTATCCTTCCAGAAATTCTCTACACATGTACAAGTGTTCTCTATTAGAGATATCATAAGCACACACATATATATTTAAGTTCATCATCAAACAGCGAGGAACTATTTTGTATGATAAACTAAATAACATCAAAATATTGAAATTTGTCATTTTGGGGTAATTCATGTTACTAAATAAGAAACACTTAATACATAAGTGTACTAAATTGGAAAGTAATAAACAGCATTCATTGAATCAATGTCTATAATTCTTACTTTCATTTCTTCAAGTGGTACTTCTTCAAATTTTTATTTAAATTCAAATTAGTTAACACACAGTGTAATATTCTGCTTATTTCTGAATCCCAAGTGCTGAGCAATGAGATGAGTGCTGACAGAGAAATCTACAAAATGCTGCTCCAGTGAGAGAAAACTAGAAAATTAGGTAGGATCTGGAATTCCCAGAATACATAGTACAGTATCCAACATGGCAACGGGGCAGGCTATGTTTCAATGTCTTATTTGTATATATAAACAAATATTTATAAAGCACTTTAAGGGGCACCTGGGTGGCTCAATCAGTTAAGCATCTGCCTTCAGCTCAGGTCATGATCTCAGGGTCCTGGGATCGAGCCCCATGTCAGGCCACCTGCTCAGTGGGGAGTCTGCTTCTCCCTCTGCCTCTCCCTCTGTCCGTCCTCCAGCTCATGCTCTCTCTCTTGCTCACTCTCTCTCTCTCAAATAAATAAATAAATATTTTTTTAAAAAGCACTTTAATATGTTTAAGGCACTATACTAGACACCAGAGACAAATAGATAAATTAAATATAACCCTTGATCTGAAGCTCACCAGTCGTAATGAAGAGAGATTTCTGAACAAATAACTATAGTAAAATAATGAAATAACCAAAACAAAACTATCACTTACAGCAAAAAAAAAAAATGTATTTAGTCTGTAAGAAAATCATTTTCTGCTCTTATTTAACTGGAAAGAGAATTCACCATAGAAAATTCTCCTTTAGGGGCGCCTGGGTGGCTCAGTCGGTTAAGCATCTGCCTTCGGCTCAAGTTATGGTCCCAGGGTCCTGGGATCGAGCCCCGCATTGGGCTCTCTGTGCAGCAGAGAACCTGCTTCTCCCTCTCCTTCTGCCTGCTGCTCTGCCTACTTGTGCTCTCTCTCTGTCAAATAAATAAATAAAATCTTAAAAAAAAAAAAAAAAGAAAATTCTCTTTATAGGGACGTTCTACTTAATGTTTATTCCATGAAGCAAGAAATGTAGATCATAAGGCTTCTATCTCATGATCTAAGACAATTGTTCCATTCCCTGCCACCACATCTGCATTCCACCCAGCAGGAAAAGTACAAGGAGAATGAAGGTCACATCCTTTCTTCCTAGGGCATGGCTTAGAAGTTGAACACATCACATTCACTCATATCTCATTGCTCAAAGCTAATCATATGGCCACTTGCAGCTTCAAGGAAGGCTAGGGTATACAGTCTTCAGCAAGGTGCCAGGTGCCCTGCAAAACTCACAAGCTCTGTTACCAAAGGAAAAAGGAAATATATCCCCAAGAGAAGTGAAAACATATGTCCACACAATGAATGTTCACTGCAACATTATTCACAATAGCCCAAAAGTGGAAGCAACCCAAATGTCCATCAACTGATGAGTGAATAAATAAAATGTGGTATATCCATATAATAGAATATTATTCAGCCATAAAAAGGAATGAAGTAATGATACATGTTACATCATGGATGAATCTTTATGCTAAGTGAAAAAAGCCAGTCACAAAAGGCCACCTGTTGCATGCTTCCATTTATATGAAATGTCCAGAATAGGCAAATCTATGGACAGAGAGTAGATTAGTGGTTGCCTAGGATGAGGGGTGAAAAGCAGGAAAGGTATTGGAGAGAAAATGGGAATGACCGTTACTGGGTATATGGCTTCCTCTTTGGGGTGATGAAAATGTTCTAAATTTGACTGTAGCAACCAGAAACCGTTGAACTGTATGTCTTAAATGAGTGAATTGTATGGTATGTGAATTATGACTAAACAAAACTGTTTAAAAAAAATAAAAGCAGATATAGGGAAGGTTTCTAACTGTGACCACCGAAGGCATAAAGGTAGGAAGAAGTAAGACAACTGTGTCCCCAGGAATTTCAGTAACCCATTCTTCAATGCTGCAGGACCCAGAGAATCTGGCCAAATGGCCAAATCTCATCTATTATGAGATCTAATAGATAATTAGGTTATCTATTATCTGATTATTGAGGTGATTATGATTAGATCTGTAAACTGGCAACAACTAGAGGGGGAGAAATAGGTTTTTCAAAGCACAAATGACACTGAATAGTGGGTAAAAATATGTTATAATTGTTAGTTTTTGTTAAATAACATTGTGTGAAATGCCAAGATTTCATCTAAAACATATATTCTCAACAGGGAAGATATCACCCCTAAGGGGGCAAAAATCATTCTTGGTAGCCAAGAAAACTTCCTCTTTTTACATAGAAAGCACAGATACATACATTACATAAACAGACAGTTTATCTATGGCTTTAAAATTTCACAGGGTGGGGTGGTGATTAGGAAGAAAATTATCTAAAAAGGATCTTTGGGTCCATGATTTTCTGATTCCTCATTCATATATACTACGAGCTCCGGCTATGTGAATTAAACTATTACAAGTTGAAAATGTTTGGCTCTGGAGCTTGTTCATTCCTCTTGAAATGCTCATGGCACCCAGAAGTCCCAGCTTTTCTGCTTAAGATACTGGTTGTTGCCTAACCATGTGTCATCTATCAAACGTTCTTCTGTCTCATGCTGAGAATTTATGCCTTGAAACCAAATGGTGCCAGCTACCGGAGAACTAAAAAAGAGATGAAAAAGATTTACCTATGCATAATCCCAAGTTCCCTCTTCCACTCTCGCACCTACCCCTGAAATAACAAACTTTGAAAGGCAGGATAAAATAGGTGATTTTTCCCCACTCACTTTAGCTACCACCCTCCTCCCCCGCAGTCCTCACCCTTCACCTCCTCCCCCTCCACCTCACACAGAAGAAGACTTACAGGGCGGGCCCCAGCTGAAGAGGTCAGGCAGATGACAGGATCATCTAAACCCACAGCCCCTCCTTTCTCTTCTCTTCCCCCTCCCTGTAATATAACCTTCCTGTACAGCACCTTCCCCTATCTTAATTGGTCTATTCTACCCCCATTTCAAAGTTGAAAAGGATCTGATTTTAATTTTCAACTGAACTTCACACAGAGTGCACTCTCCTGGAAAAAATGCTTTTACATTAACTGCAGAATAAAAAGCTTTGACTCCAAGGAAAGACATTCCAAACTCTGAGATAAGGTGGAGGTGATTCCTGCTTTAGTTCTTGGGATGGAGGAAAGACAGGCAGCCTTTGTCTTCTGGTCCTCTGTCCTCAGATCTCTCCTCCTCTCTAGGAAGATTACCCCGAGCCGCGGCTTTATCCGTCATCCTCAGTCTGCCTGGGAATGACTGGGCACAGCAGTGACCTGGTCTTGCTACTGCCAAGAGTCCTGGGGCTGAGAGCACATACTGGCCTGGTGTAGGGGCCCCATGACCCACCTGCCACCTGCCCTCCCTGCCATCTTGCAACTACCCCAATACTCCCGAACACTGAGAATCTGGGGCCCACATCCCCCGTTCTTGTGCCTCATTTCAGGACCACCGCTTCTGGCCTGGGTCTCTTTCTTCCCTCAGCATCAACTGGAATGTTGTCAGCTGACTATTTTCCTGCCTCCAGGCAAGGAATTCACCTGAGAAGGGGGTAGGCTTCTCCTGGCTCTCAGTTCTGAGTCACAGGGCAACCTCCTTGTACATCTACAATCCAAAGCATCCTTTTTTTACCCATCTGAAATATTTTTTTTAGTTTCCAGTTTTCAATTAAGCATTTTTTTGGTTTTGAATCAAATGTTGGCCCTTATAATCTAGTCACGTCTGTTCCCAGCAGAATTCAACTGTTCTTATCTAAGCTCTTTATAAAGTTGTGTTTGAATAGTGAACATTTCAATGAAAGTAAGAAACTACCTTTTCACATGAAGTAATCTGAAATCTTAGAGCAGAACTATCTTATCTAATGGCTCTGAAGTTTAAGGAAAGCAAAAAGGAATTTAAAGATTCCCGCCCCCCCCCCCCCCAATAGCTTTCCCAGTTTCATTTTACTCAGGGATATGCTTTAAATGAAATTATTCCAGGGAGTAAAATCATAAGTAAAATACAAAGGCAGTTCAGAGCAAGAAAACAGGACCAAGCTGAGATCTCCAATTTGCATGTGGTACTATGCAATTACTTTTATGACCTACTTTCATACATTTTTAATATGATAGAAAATAAAGGCTACTGTCAAAACTTCCCATTCTTTCTATAAGCTTGAAGCATAGCTGGTGGGCTCCCCTCTGTTCTAATCAAGTGGCTGAGCAACTAATTTCCTAAGCCTCAGCCTCCTGGTTTAAATCACAGCATAACCAGCGTCTCTCCCTAGTCTCCTTACCTCAAGCAATCATTTATGTAGCAAGCATATATTGAGTGCCTACTGTGTGTACCATGCTCCCCTGTTGATACTGACTCTTCAGTGAACCTACAGAAGAACGGTTCCATTATCCTGAAACTCTTATTTGAACTCTTTCGTTTTTACAAAAAGTTCACAATGACTGTAACTAAGAATTCTTGTTTGGTAAAGTTTGACAACGATGGTGATCCTCTGGGCACATACCCAAATATCTGCCTACCCCCCCCTTTATCATCTAGGATTCATGAGTTGTTACTCATGTATGTGAATATAAATCACAGAAGTGCTGAAACCTATCAGTGAGAAACAAGCACAAGACACCTGTTAGGGTCCCCAGTACTTTTGTAATGGACTTCAAGGGTCTTGCCTAAGAACCTCATCACACAGCTTCCACAAAGAGTCTGTGGAATAGGGTATTCCCAATAAAAATAACTCTTCTCTGCCTTTTTTAGAGACACATATTTGTAAGTTCAGGTCTGGATGTGAGTACTACTGTAATTGGTGAAATAGTCTCATTACTTTATATTTGCCCTTTTATAGAAGGCTCTCTAAATCCATTTGTATATTTAGGTCATTTTCAGCCTGAATAACTGAATATTAATATTTCCCACAGTTTTGACAAAATCACACTGTTTTCACAAGAATTCCCTTTTCTTTCTTTTTAATGTAAAGTACACACAGATTTACCATTGGCCCAAAACATAAAAATCCAACAGTGGCCATTTATCTTGGGTCACTCATCGTAAGTGTGTATAGCATTTCTGATATGCTTGCTGTTCTTCTTTCTCTTAATTCTTAATCTCTCTCTCTTTGTAACAAGGATGCCATAATTCCAGCTGGAAGTCATTGGCTTCACCAAGAGGCTCATCATCATGCTGAAAATTGAAGTTGCCAACTTGCCACTAGCCCAATGGGAGAGAAAATGGCCCCGGCCACTTCCAGTGATCTGCAAGTGCAGTGCCTGGTTACATGTCAGCCAGAGGGGTCTGAAACGATGGCAGGAGGCAAAGTATAGCACCTGTTATACACCGCGACCGTTCATAACTTTGTGTTGCTGAAAAAGCCTTGGCCACTTGCAGGAGTGTTTTGTGTTCTGCTACAAAATGCACTTACCCTAAAGAGTAGAGGCGGCATTGCTTGCTGCGGATCTGATGAGCTAAGCCAAACCTGTCATCAAGACAGACTGACCAAGGCTTCTTTGCAGGGCTGGAGTCAGTAGTGAGGCTGTCTGTGCTCATGTGATTGCATGCAATCTGTAAGGATTAGAAATCAATATGAATAATTTAAAGCGTTGGATGATAAATGGCAGGTAGGGAGTAACTGCTTTCCCAGTCCCTGAAAGCCGTAACAGGAGAGTTACATCCTTCTCCACTGCTAACTAACTACTCCTTTCCCCAGGGAAACACAAGACTGCTGTCAAATGTTCAGAGGAACTCCAAATACTGGATTTAGAAGGACACTTGTGGAGACTGTAGGTAGGTTTGAAGGGAAGTTAAGCGCTACTATAGGTATATAGCACAGAGTATGCAAGGGAGAACAAGTCAGGAGCAAAGGTGGCAGAGAGGAGGGATCCAGAAAGGCTTTGCAGAAGTGTGTTAGCCTTGGAGGATGAACAGAAGTTGACCAGGAAGCTGAGATCAAGAGAGGCATTCCAGACATGGAGAACAGTGCTGGCAAAACACCAGGTCTATAGCTCACAGTGTTCCTACAGGAAGTTGTGAGATATGATTGTGGGCACGGGTCTCAGAAGGATACAGATTATCAATTCCTTATCTCAGGCAGATAAGCTGGGACCACCGTGGTCCAGAAAGGGAGCATGCATTATCCCAGGTAAACAGCTGATCAAGGGTCAAGTGAAATTAATTCGTCATTCCTGCTCCCCAAACCATATTCTTTGTGAAACAGTGTACTAATGAGCTTCCTCCTAGGGGAGAAGAGCAAGAGCCCCACGCAGGAAGGAAGCTCTTCCTGAGCTAACCAAAGCGCTTCTTTTAACTCATCCATCAAAATTAGATAAGGAAACCAAAGGAACATGTATCTAAATCAAGCAGAAGCAAGTCTCTGATTTCAAACGCACATTAAGCAAAGACCCTGTATAAGGAATTCTGACTTGTGTTTAAGGCTAGCACAGTGTGCATGACTGGGGCTGCTGGAACCAAAGAGAGCAGGTTCTGTGACCAAGGTATTCTTCCGTGGCCAGTATTACATTACTGAGCATCAGTTTTCCCCCTAACCCCTCAAAACGCCCATCATCATCATGATGCTCCACGAATCCTGCAGCAGCTCTGGCTGTCACATCATGAACAACAGAGCACTCCATGTGCAAAGGATGTTCTCAGGTTCATTACTCTGATTCACTGGAAAACATAACAGCAAATTATTTTCTTCTTATGATGATACTCTAAATTTGCCCAATTCTTTTATTCAATGGAGCTTCCAAAATTCTAATCTGAAAAGCTTATATATATGTAGCTTATTCAATGGATACGGCATCTCCCTTACTCTTGCCGTAATCTAGGGCTGCTGGCCTGGAAAAATCATCCAGCACTATTTATCAGAGATAAAGGAGAGAGTCCATTGCTAGGATTTGCACAATTTAGAGGGAAGCTTAAAATACGAAACCCTATATATGTATTCTTCCCCTCAACTGATGTCTTATCACTGTTTAAAGGGAAAAATAGAAAATGGAATCGAATCTTCTCTCAAGCAACTATTACAGAATACATTTATTAAGTGGGTGCATCAACATGTTAATTTGTATAATTCATTTCTTACTATTCTCCCACAGATATGTGGAAATTATGCCTCTGTTTGCCTACTTCCTAGGCCCCACTCACCCACCAAGGGAGGAAAAACTGCTAATCTAATCAATCAATGTTCAATGTGTTCACTGGGCCCGTCTTACTAGTGGGCGGGTTACTGTGCCTTAAACATCGGCACCTTCATTGTTGCTCTGCCCCACGCTCTGCCCCCCTGCAGGTGGTCAGTTAGGCAGTTCTGTAGGCCCCTAAAGCATAGCTGGACCTCCTAAGCCTGTCCCATTTGCTCTAGGGCAGCTTCCTAGAGTATTTTTATTACAGTTGTATGATGATTCCCATTTCTTTGTGTGTACTCTTCCCTAAGAACCTCTCTAATCACAGAACCGGATATGGACATTCACAGGTTCTTGTTCCTAACTCTCTCCTAACACCACTGAAACTTAAGTTTCGCCTCTCCCGCCATGTTTCTCAAGGTGTGGTCCACCTACATTCTGGTGGATCCAGGAGGTACTTGAAAATACAGATTCCCAGGGCACCTGGGTGGCTCAGTCGGTTAAGCGTCTGCCTTTGGCTCAGGTCATGATCCCAGGGTCCTGGGATCAAGCCCCGCATCGGGCTCCCTGCTCCACGGGGAGGCTGCTTCTCCCTCTCCCACTCCCCCTACTTGTGTTCCCTCTCTCGCTGTGTCTCTCTATGTCAAATAAATAAGTGAAATCTTAAAAAAAAAAAAAAAGAAAATACAGATTCCTGAGGCCCACTCCGGATCTGTAAAGTCAGAATCTTTGAGGTGGATGCCTGGGAACATGCATTTTAATACACTCCTCCAGGTGATTCTTCTGCAGGTGGTCCTGTGAGTTTACAGACACCCTTTTGTAAAGCCCCACAAAAGATGAAACGATCCAGCCTGGCCTCACCTGTGCCTTAGCAAATTCAGGGAGGAGGCTGCACTTGGGCCCGAGCTTTAAAATGAAAACAGCAACCCCTCCAAACCCACCCCTAGCAAAAAGCCAGCCACGCAGGCAATGACACTTAGGGAGAGGCCTCCAAGAATCAGAAATAATAAGGGTCAAGGTTCAGGGCACTGAGGTTCAGCTGCCCTTCCTTTCAATGTTGGGGAGGAGAGTTTTAGTCTATTAAAGGTGACACTTCAAGCATTTCTTCTTCTGCAGATTTCATCTTGCACAGATATATCCCTGTTGAAAAGACATTCTTTTCCATTCACTCTCTCTGCTAATGTTGCCCTTTCCTCTCCTTGCTCAAAAATATAACACAGGAGTTTTTCCATTTTAACCATTTATTACCCATCTCACTGGTAGACATTAGCTTTTGAAAACAACTAGGAGTACTCGGTAAAATTCAGCTCCTAAAAATTAATTAAATATTGATTTTTCAAACTTTCTCATTAAGATTTATGGCCAGGGCTTCAAGAAACTCTTGCAAGCAAAATAATTGAGGGCAGTAACTCCTAGCTAAGCCCCAATTTCAGTAATTATGTTCTCTCTCTCTAATTCCCCTTGTAATTTTAGCAAATTAGGCCTGGACAAAGGAGAAGAGACTCCAGGAAAAAATATTTTCTGAAATGCATTTTAGTTATTTAACTTAAAGAGATTCATTTATTTTTTTAAATTTTATTTATTTATTTATTTGCTTATTATTTTTTAATCTCTACATCCAATGTGGGGCTCGAACTCACAACCCCAAGATCAAGAGTCACATGTTCCACCGACTGAGCCAACCAGGCACCCCATAAAGGGATTAGTTTATTCTCATTTCATTTGGTATCCCAAAAGAGGGAACAGAATTTCTGGCAACCCATAAGTAGAATCTGACAAAGGGAACCCTTAAAATTTGGGGACTTCTGGCAGAATCACTTCAATGATCAATTGTATGTTTATGTAATACCGTTATTTTGAAAGGCAAAATTTAAGGAAAGAATTGTATTTTTGTTGCTTTTATCCTGGGTGTGTGTGTGTGTGTGTGTGTGTGTGTGTGTGTGTGTGTAGCAGTAAATATAATAGATACAATTGTTATAAAGTTGTAAAGTCTGGGGCGCCTGGGTGGCTCAGTTGGTTAAGCGACTGCCTTCGGCTCAGGTCATGATCCTGGAGTCCCGGGATCGAGTCCCGTATTGGGCTCCCTGCTCGGCAGGGAGTCTGCTTCTCCCTCTGACCCTCCTCCTTCTCATGCTCTCTGTCTCTCATTCTCTCTCTCTCAAATAAATAAATAAAATCTTTAAAAAAAAAAAATCCTTTAAAAAAAAAATAAAGTTGTAAAGTCTGCATCTCCAGGGCTTGGATTTTTATGTTATTCTTTTTTTTTTAATTTTATTTATTTATTTGACAGAGAGAATGAGACAGAGAGAGAGCATGAGAGGGGGGGAGGATCAGAGGGAGAAGCAGACTCCCTGCTGAGCAGGGAGTCCGATGCGGGACTCAATCCCGGGACTCCAGGATCATGACCTGAGCCGAAGGCAGACGCTTAACCATCTGAGCCACCCAGGCGCCCTATTTGGTTTTTTTTTTTTTTTTAAGATTTTATTTATTTATTTGAGAGAGAGAAAGAGCACAAGAGGGGGGAGCGAGAGAGGGAGAAGCAGACTCCCTGCTGAGCAGGGAGTCCGATGCAGGACTCGATCCCGGGACTCCAGGATCATGACCTGAGCCGAAGGCAGTCGCTTAACCAACTGAGCCACCCAGGTGCCCGATTTTTATGTTATTCTTACAAATAGATAGATGGGTAGATGATTGGATGGATGGATGGATGGATGGATGGATGGATGGATGGATGGATGGATGGATGGATGGATGGAGAGACAGATAATGTTTTAAAATCTATTTTTTCTTTTTTAAAACAGAAACTGTTGCTTAATTTTGTGCTGCAAGGCCTGCTTCCTAGAGGCATATGGTTTGGGGGCGGCCATAAAAAGCTGGATCTGGAGCCTTCCCTTAGAACAGAGCACTGTGTTTATGATTTAACCATTTCTTGTTAGCAGCAGACAGCGTATCATCGACTCTGGAACTCAGAGATGTAATTCTGGTCTTTGACATTAGAAAACAATACCTAATTAAACTGAGCTTGATGTTGTGCACACTCTACCAAACATCCCATCCTCTGGGGTTTCCTTAAAACTTCAGGACCTCAGTGTCTCATGTCATCAGGGCCACCACAATGCACAAGTCCAGGGGTGCCCCCCCATTGAGGTCTAATGCCGCACTGTCCCCTGCCCCGTGCTTCTGTTTCCAAGCTCCCCTGGTCTGGGGAAACTCCCCCACCCATCCGTTCCCCCCGCCCCTGTTAGGGAGCGCACAACTCTTGCATCCCAGCTGTCTGCCAGTATGTGTTGGTATTGGATTCAGCTTGTCCGCCCTAGTCAGTGCCGGCCACCGAACAGGTGTTTAACAAATGCCTGCTGACTTGAGGAATGAATACATCGGTGATGCACACATCAAATGCTGGGCCTTGCTGTGCAAGCTTGAACACAGATTTGAGGGAGATCTTTTTTTTTTTTTTTTAATTTTAAATAGCAGCATAAGAGGATGGGGGTGGAATTTGCTTTAGTACCTTCAGAGGGTTTTTTCCTCCCTGGCCCATTATGACTCACTACTGCTAACTGTGGAAATTTTAGGGAATAGTGACTCTAATATACTTCCAATTTTGTAGGCTTTCATTGTCAAGATGAGTTCTAAATGAAGGCTAAGCCCCCAAAACAGCCAAAAAAACAAAACAACAACAACAAAAACCCCAAAAACCTCTGCATTGCATAGAGAGGGGGAGGGAACACTGTTTAGCAAAAGATTCTGATTAAGAATCAGTTAGTGTCATCTCTGATGAGCTCCCACCCGCTGGCTTCCCAGTGACTTAGAAGTACAGAAAACATAGGACCTCTCCTGGGCAAAACGACCCCTGATTACAAAACCACCGTGAGATCTAGAACTTTATCTCAGTTTTTCTGGAGGATGAAAATCCTTCTAGTGAGCTTCAACAACCAGATCTTTATTGTCACACTCATCCAGCTGAATAATATGTCCATTTATCTACCTTCCCAACTAGTTTCTTAGCTGCTTGAAGGCAGAGACTGTATTCCCAGGGCCTGGCACAGCTCCTGGCACGAAGTAGGTGCTCAAAAATACTTAGTAACGATCCTATACTACTCTCGGCAGAGTATAAGCTTACAGAACTGGGAGAAACCTAAGAAATAATTTAATAACTCTCTTCCTTTTCAAGATCAGAGCAGTAAGAGCTAGAGAAGCAAAATAAATTGCCCAGGGTCATATCAGGCTACATTGTAGGATGCTTTTCTTTTCTCCTCAAAATTTTTCTCCTCTCAACGTATAACTCATGGGAAAAATCCAAGAGGGGCTTGAAATATCCCTTTCATGCCTCATGAGCTTCTTCTAAGTAAATATGCCTTTTATAAGTTACAGAACATTAACCTGAAATACATATAAAATGGAATTTGGAGACTTTTACTTGGTCAATTTATTTTGGGGGGTGGAGCCCACAGTTCTCAAATTCATAAAGCTAACACCTCGCATTTTTCTCTGGTGTCTTCAGGGCTTCTTAAAAGTCGCAGTCAAGAGGTCCTTCATGTAAAAACCAAACCATAAAATTAAAATTTCAGCATTTTAATTAAGTCTATCAAAGTCCACCAAATTAATTTGCAGCAGCAAAATAAGATGCAATTATGTAAAGCACAGGGATCGATTTATCATCCTACATAACTCATGATTAACTCAACAAGCTTTTATTTCCATGTCTAGGTGACAGATACTAAGATCCAATTGTCTGACTGCATCATATGAAAAATGGGACTTTCTTTTACCCCTAAACTAGCCTTCCAAAGATCTAGAAACATATTCTCTCCACAGATGAAAAATGGGCTCTGCTGCCAGGAAGGTGTTGGAGGAAAAGTGGGATGCCCAGAACCAGTGGGCTGAAGGGACATCAAAAGAGCCTGGGACCTCCAGTGCCACACCAGGTACGTAGGACCTCCCAGTGGGCCTACGTACCTTCTAGGCAGTGTGAGTTCCTAATTTCCTAACACCTCTCAGTTCAGGGCAAAGTTTCCCTTGGGCTTTGATCTTCTCTAATGTCTCTCTGTCCCCAGGATCAGGCTACTTGAGGATGGAATCTCCTGATTGGCATGTCAAGAGCCATAGATTCTGCTTAGTGGACGGTCCCTTTCCTTGCTGGGGGCACAGACTCAGCCTAGGCGGGAGCTGTCACAGTGTGTTAAGTGACTAATAAACGCCGATGCTCCATCATGATTTTCAGTGCAATAAGAACTGAGTGCCTTTGGATTCGGTAGCTTCTCAGACTGCCTGCAACATCTCCTCGGCTCTCTGGCCTAGCGGGTCTCGGTCTGCCAAGCATCTGTGGGGGAAGAGTGAAAAGGCAGATTCCTCCAAATACAAAATGGAACTTGAACCTCCAGATGATGGTTTTGTTTTGTGACACACTTGACTGCCTACTCACGGGCATGAATCTGTAGCTTCAAAGGGCTTTCCAAAGCAATTTGCTAAAGTGGGTCTTTAAAACACATCGGGATGAATCATTAAAACATTTCAAGATGACAATACCCCTGGAAGGCAGAAGATGCTGAAGCAAATGGGAGGCATCTTATCTGCCTCTAAGTAAGTGGATAAATTTAAGCAGCAAGGCCTCAGAAACTCTGTCCTTACCAAGTCCCTACCAGGAGTCCCTGAGAACCTCCCCACCCCCTCACTGACCAAACCCTTTTTTAAAGGGGGCTGCTCAGCATCTTTCGCAGGGTTTCCAAACCCACTTGCGCCTGGAATACAACCTGGGGGGTGCTGATGTATCTCAGGAACCTCAAGACTTCTTCATCCAGGGACTGAGCAGGACCTGCCCATGGCTGGAGATCTATATGCCACCGGGGACCCTGCAAAAGACAGAAAACAGGTCCATGTGTAAAGGGTGGAGGCGCTCGCGGTGGGGGTGACAGGGACACAGACTATCAGTGGGGCTGCACCTCTGCTTTAGCTGCTTGCAGAACCAACATGTCTGAGCACAGCAGTGGGGGGCCTGTCTGGGGCTGCTGTCATTAAGGTCACCACAGCGACAGGGAAGCAAACAGGGCCTGAGAAATTCCAGCTACTGGCTTAATAAGCAAAAGACTGCAAAGGCCTGCAGACATCTGACTTCTGATCCAGAGCAAACTCCACTTGACCCCATCAGGCTCTCCCGACTGTGGCTTTGTATGACACAGCGCCATTCCCCATTCGAAGGAAAACTCCCCTATCTACTACAGTTTCCAAAGCTTCTAGAGCTTCAGAACTCTGCCCCTCCCTAAGGGCCAGTTTTGTTGTTGAGGCATCATAATGCCTGAAATCCTGGGGCCTTCCCCAGCACAGGGAGACGGGGCGGCCCCCCTTGGTGTTCCAGATCTCAGCGTGCCTGGCATCTGGATCTGTGCACCTTCAGGAGAGGACCCCGAAGCTGTCCCCACCAGTGCTGACAAGGGTGGCCTTCTAGCAAGGGGCTGCCACCTTTTTTTTTTTAAGTAGGCTCCACACCCAATGTGGAGCTGAATGCGGGGCTGGAACCCACGACATGGAGATCACAACCTGAGCTGAAATCAAGAGTCAGATGCTTAACCGGATGAGCCGCCCAGATGCCCCAAGGGGCTGCCACCTTTCAGCAGAGGACGTGAGGAGCTCCCACAAGCAGAGCAGTTAGAGATGAAGGCTAGGCCCCCTTTTGTAGCAAGGGTGATGGGATGGATGAAGGGTTAGGGGATCGCAGTGGTCTGGAAGAAACAAAAGTGGGATCCCTCCAGTTGAAGGGAAGCACTAGTCATGAAGTTCTTCCTCGACTTCAAAGTCCCCCACCCATAGTTATCACCGCTTAGAAACCTCCCAGAGGCTCACTGTGATTCTAACTGGGAGAGTAGGGCTCAGGGTGTGGGGGTGGGGAAGCGGGTGGGTGGAGAGAAGCCCCAGCAGCTGGCAGGGTGAATGTCTGACATAAGGAAAGACTCTGGGTGTCTTGGCATAGGGGTTCCGGCACAGTGCTTAGACTGGGCCCTTAAACCGCTTCTGTGTTGAGGAAGAAGGCAAGGGAAGTTTCTGGGGACAGATGAATGGGCCATTCATGTAAACACATTGTCCTTCACTCAGGTATTACCATGGTCTGAATGTGTGTGTGTGTGTCGCCCTCCCCCATATTCAAAGGTTGAAATCCTAATGACCAATGTGATGGTATTAGGCAGGGGGGCCTCCGGGAGGTGCTCAGGTTATGAGGGTAGAGCCCTCCTGAATGCTATTAGTGCTGTTCCATAAAAGATCCCACAGAGCTCTCTAGCCCCTTCCCCCATGGAAGGACATGGCGAGAAGGCAGCAACCCGGAAGAGGGCCTTTCCTGGAAACCAATTCTGCTGGCACCCTGACCCTGGCCTTCCAGCCTCCAGAACTCTGAGCAATACAGGTCTGCCCCTCCTTGTAGTAGCTGAGCGCCCTGCAGTTCTCGAGACTTAACGAATCCTCGCTGATCTCCCACGGGCTGCCTTCTTCTCAGCTGCCAGTCTCCTGGGCGTGTGACCTGGGTCGTCTTAGAGGGGCCTGTGCTGGGCTCAATGCTCTACTGATACGCTGATACTATCTGGAAATTCTTTAATAATTTTGGAACAAGGGGCCTCACGTTTTCATTTTGCACCAAACCTTACAAGTGGTGCAGCCAGTCTGCCCTGAGGGGCACCTTTTCTGGGTACACAGGCTTTTCTTATAGCTGTTCTTGTTCTGTGAAGGCTGAGCAGAGACTCTAATCAGAGAAAGCCTGAGAACATTAATATATCTTCCCAGTAATACCGTCCACCACCACCCCCCTACTTCTTTTCCCTTCTCTGAAGTAGATGCTGATTACCATTTGGTCAAACAATACTGAGGATCAGTCACTCTGTGCCAGACAGAGGTCTACACAGATATGAACAAAACCTGGACTCTCCCACAAAGGGCAGTCTGGTAACTTTGACAGGGAGATGCTGGGGAAACATTAGGGAGAGCAATTCTTTTCAGGAAATTATTTAATTATGAAATCATACATTATAAGCACATTTAAATACAAATACCTCCCAGTTTTGTTTGGTCACGTTCTTCTCATATCACATGAGAGAGTGCCTTGCCACAACACAGTGCTCTTTGGCCAAACCTGTCTAGGCCTGGGGTTTAAAACTCCCCATGTCCTCATCCTATGGCCACTTACAAGTGCCCCCCAGCATCTGGCCCAGGAGCCTCTTGATAAAAATGATAAAGTTCACACATGACGGTCTTCCTTGAAATCCGGGATCAGTAAACTCTTTCTATAAGGGGTGAAACAGCAAATAGTCTAGGCTTTGCAGGCCATACAGTGTCTGTTGCAATTCCTCACCTCCTGCTATAGCTCATAGCAGCCAGACAGTGAGTAAACCAATGGTCATGGCTGTGTTCCAATAAAATTCCATTTACAAAAATAGGTTGCAGGCTGGATTTGGCCCACACGGCTGTAGTTTGCTGACCCCTGATCTATTTGATTCTAATTTAGAGACAGACTGGCCTAGAAGAGAGTGTTTACTTGAAATAATGCAAGAGAGACAGATTAGGGTATCTAGATTATAACTAACTTTGTCATCTGGGTGACCTGAGCAAGTATCAGTCAGAGTTCTAGCAGGATACAGTGGGCTCCTTCCCACGGGCTAATTTGAGAAGAATTTAATAGAAAGACTATTTATAAACGTGTGTGCAGGGTTTAAGGAAATCCTTAAGGAATAATGCAATACCCACGGCTGGTAGCACCAGAGAGCCCTCACAAACCTTCAGCCTGAAGGAACAAGGAGGAAGAGGAATTTGTGGAACCCAGAGTGGGACACTGTATGGAGAAGGCATTCAATAAAGGAACAAAGCAATCCTAGCACATCCAGTCCTATTATATACCCACACTAACTGTCAAAGGCAAAAGAAGGCAGAGAAGAGGGAGGCTATGGTTAGTCAGCCTCTGGGGGTGCAGAACAGGAAGAGAAGGGTGGAAAGTGGATCTGGAGAGGCAAATGGAAGGTCTCCTGCATCGCTTCCTTTGGAAAGAGGCAATGAGACTTGACCAGGGCGTCATTCATTCATTCAGTGGACACTCATGCCTCGTACCAGGCTCTGGGTTACAATTTAACACAGGATAATTTAATACAGTTTTAACCCAATAAATGCAATGCAGTTAGGTAGGGGCTCTGACAGATACCTCTAGAGGGTAAATGGGGTCACAAAGAGATGGAGGACCCAAGTATAACCCCAACATAAATGCCAAAACATACAAATGCAAATTGTGGCAAGCAGTCTCCTCCTCAAGAAGCCCTAAAGTTTCCTTAAAGAGATACCCTAAACCCAGCAGGAGCCGCTTAACCTGAGCAAACACACATAAATAACTTCACAGATCAGTAACAGTGAATCTGCATGGTCAATCAGTATGGTAAAACTATAGAATTATCTTCAGGATCCGCAAACAGGATCCTATTGCAATCTGATATTGCTCATTTCCAACCGAGTGTTGACCATGATGCAGCTCAACATGGCAGCCGGAACAGTGACGAGCAGCTGAGGAATCTCAGGTGGAGGTATAATACAGCGAAGAGATGCCCTAGCAGCAATCCAGCTTAATGCTTTGGTTGAGCTGTTTAAAAAACATTTCAAAAAGTAATGTTCTTATTGGAATCAGTCTGACAGCAGTTCGTGATTATTTCCCCAAGGAAACCACTAGCTTTTATCATCTCTTTCAATTATCATGTGTCTTAATTCTCTAGTGCACACATCAATATTTGTCCTTCCAAACATCCCGCCGACAGAATTCTCTGAGCCCCTTAAAACACCAGTGGCTGGTGTTTCATAGAACAAGCCAAAAACAAAACAAAACCAAAAATGTTTTTCTTTTAAAAAAAAAATTTATCATGATTTTATCCCCCAATAATTCCCTAAATGCCGGCATACACTGTTATCTATATGCTCCAAACTGCATGTGGCCAGAATGATGCTATCCCCATCACTCCCAGGAGGTGGAAACAGGGATTCCCAGTCCTGTCTGCCAGCCCCGCTTCCTCTCGGGATGGGTAAAGGAACAGCTTCAGCAGAAGCGGGTGCTTGTACTATCATTCGGGGCTGGTCTGGCTGTCCCCAGCAGACCTGCGCTAAAATGTCAAATGGAGGCCACACAATGAGCTGCCACAGAGAAGTAGCACCATCTTAAGCCATTGCAGGGACGAGGGCCCCTCTACTCCTTTGCAGTCCGTGGTCCTGCCCCTTGAACCACCAGGCCACTCATACAAAGGAGCCCCCCCCGCCCCCAGCACAGATAGGCAGCTCAGGGAAGGCAGGGTTCCAGACTTCTGAGGGAAAGAAGCAGCCCCCACTTTGTTTGTGAAGGCTTTCTCTGGCACTTTCTCCAGGCAATGTGCATTGAAAAGTGAGCTGACTTCCTCTAGTATGTTTTGAGTGCAGAGAAAAAATTTCCAAAAATTAAGATTAAGGACAGCAGAAGATATATACTGCTAACTCATGTTGTTCTGGGGCTATTTTGCAGACATCTGAGATTCTGCACCCCATGGGGTAAAAAAAAAAAAAAAGTGATCACTGAGTCAGTCCAAGCCAGTGCACACAGATAATGGACCTGGCTCAAAAAGACCACAACAAGCATAGCCGTGAGGCTTTCAGATATTTTTATAATTTATGATTTCAGCATTAAATTTGTTTCTTGAAAAAAAAAATGATTCTTTCAAGCCAAAGAAACTGAATTCCAAGATTTTACTATTAGAAGATAGTGCAATTCCAAGATTTTACTATTAGAAGATAGTGCAAAAAATAAAGCAATGTTTTAAAATACTTTTTTGCCTACCAGCCTACACTTATGCACATAACAGGAATGTCT